ACAAGTACGTCTGCCAGTTCGAACGCTGAAGACACGATAACATCGCGTAAATCTTAGTAGTTGCTACTTCTAGGAAAATTGTCCTTTCTCGAATGACTTTCTCGAATGACTTTCTCGAATGATAAAATCGTTTTAGCCATATTGACAGTTTATGCAAATTTACATTCAACAACAGACACTATCAATCTTCCAGTTCAGCATTGAGCACACGTCACGCATGTGATAAAGTACCGAAATTTGTCATGTGTCCCCTTTGCCCTTTACTACCTCTTTTGTTACCGCCGTCATGACTACAATTATTGACAGGCGTCCATTCAGTAACCCAAATTAAAAACTTTGCGATCGTCAGAAAAGATTCTGTTGTCTTTGAGGTGCAGGGAAATCAGATTGATGAAGTGATATCTTCAACTATCGCTTAAAGGGATTAGAAATGTTGAAATGTTTTGCAGTTTTCTGAATTCAAGCGGCTGCTGGATATTTTCTTAGTTTCAGTCTTTGAGGAGCTTGAACAAATTTACACGAAATTTTGGAGACATTTTAAAAGTGTTTTGTTAATTTTGCAAATTTCTAACGATGGATTTAGGAATAATCGCACTATTTTGAATGATTTCAACGACGTCATATTTAACTCCCTGGCTCATAATCGGCACTGGATGTTGATAACACGTTGTGGAGTAGATCTCACGAGTTAAACTTCTCAGTTTGCCTTTTCAGGAAAAGAAAGAGAACACAACATCTAACTTGATTTCTACACATAGCTTACGAAATATAAAGCGATTATTAATTTGGTGAGTTCATCTGAGTGAATAGAATAGGAGAGATGGTAAGTGAGTTCGGTAATACAGAAAGATGTTTTTCATCTTGTTACGATCGTGGGATGAAAAAAAAATTCTGAGTCTCCATGAGGAACAGAACACGCGTCCTGCATACTGCCAAGACTCAGAATTTTTTCTTTGTTCCGCGCTTGTGGCAAGACGAAAAAAATCTTTCTCTATTTCTTTACCGAGCTCAAAACTTACCAATCTCTCTTATTTTGTTTACAACTATGACACTATCGACATTGCTGATCCAAGCAGTATGCAGGACGCTTGTCATATGAAATTCGAAATAGACTTCGCTCACCGTGGAGTCCCTGTGGCTCAGTGGTAGAACATCGGAGCGCGGAATCCGAAGGTCTGAGGTTCGATTGCTCATGGGGACTACAAATTTTTTTCTTTGTCCCACGCTGGTAACAAGACGAAAAACATCTTTCTCTTTATCTGAGCATTTCACTCTTTCTCCGACAGGCTTACCGCTGACCTTTACTGACAATATGGAGCAGTTGATCGCAAGTGATACAACCGTAGCAGAATTCATCATGAAACATCCGCCTGTTCATGTAGATACCAAACCACAAGTAGTAACATTAAAAGACAAACCTTTCACTGCTTCTTTGGTTTCTGAAAGCGCAGTCCTCAGTCTTCGTGGTCTCGAAAAGGAGATTCAAGACGACATCGGAGAAAGGGGCATCGCTAAACTTCACATTGCTGACGAGCTTCTGCGGGCTGCACTCGTTTTGTCACACTCGTCATTTGTAGGAATACATTTCGGTTTCCCTTGCAATACCAATGATGAGTTTCCAGATGAAACGGATGGTCCCCTTGGGGCAATTGCACTTGGTAAAGCTCTCAAAGCCCTTGGAAAGGAGGTGACATTTATTGCAAGTTACTATCACGTCAAATTAGTGCAGGTACTTGTCGAAACATTTTTGAGAAACAAAGCTTGTGTTGTGGAGTTCACGCCACAACGGACACATGGCTCTGGCAGGGTCAGAGCAGCTGCTCAAACGTTGCTGTTTCACAATCCAACGAATCAAATGAGTCCAAAGTTTGACGTTTTAGTTGCCATAGAAGCGGTTGGTAGGACAGAAGAGGGCCGTTACATGACCATGAAAGCAAGGGACTTGTCCGAGATTTGTAAAGTCAGTCCAGTGGACGAAGTTTTCATTCAAGGTAGCTATAATTATAAGTTAATGGGAAGTGTACTAACAAACCCTGCGCCAAGATATTCATTCATGCTCCCAATCGCCAGTTAAAAAGGTGGAGCCCTTTTGATCTGAGTGTTTGAGACATTTATGACATTGTAATGACTTTTAAGGAAATTTGTAAATGCCGTTTCTTGACTAGGAAATGTTAATTTGCCGGAGAATCGGCAACTTATCAAAAGAAGTTAGTCTTACTAAAAATCGATTTCGAAGAGTTTATTCGATGAAATTTGTCTCCATGCGCTTTTATCATCAAAACAAAAAATGGTATAACATGAGGACCTCACTCAGAGCAATCTTTTTAAACTCATTTACCATAAAATCTCTCATAACGGTGACGGAATTATGAGACTTCTCTCAACAAGGTACTTTATATGGACCTTATTCCTCTCTTTCAGCTAAAAAGTCAGGAAAAATTGCCACAATCGGAATCGGTGATGGTGGTAATGAGATCGGAATGGGAAAGGTCCACCAAATGGTCGTCGATGGCATTAAAAATGGACAACACATCGCTACTACGGTTGCCACTGATCATTTGATCACCTCGGGTGTTTCCAATTGGGGCGGATCGGCGTTAGTGGCGGCTCTGGCCATCTTAAGTCAGTGCCCAGTGCACTCACCGTACGTCAGACGAGGAATTTTGCCTGATACACCTGTTCTTACCAAAGATATCTTGAACACGGTGGAAATGGTAATGCCTTCGATGAAGTCTTCTTTTTGCGTACCGAACTGACCCTCGATATTAGTTAACTTTAGGCACTACAATAATTATTGAACCCAAACATCGGATGCGTATAGGTGTGTCAAAACGAACTAATCAGATTTTAAAAAATAGCTCACAGGCACAGCAATAAACGGAAAAAGTCGCCGTGATACGAGAGAAAGAGATATTGGAGGGAATTTTATAAGATAAAATGGGCTTCCTGGGTAACTTATGCATGTACACCACTCGAGACTTCGTCCACTTTGAAAAAGTTGCCTGGGTCGGTAGTTCCAGGAGAAGTAGTGAGTATCTTAATTTGCGTCCCTATGTAGTTCCGGTACTAAGTTCCTGAATTACATATAAAAGATTAAGGGTCCATCTCGGATCCGCAAGATCTTTGAAGAGAAGGAAATTTACAGTTATTTATAATTTTTTCTTTTTCAGGAAGAAGACATTCTGAAGTGTATCGTTGGGCTCGGGGTATGCGACGGTATATTACAAAAGAGAGAGATGTCTGTGGATGGTCAACCATTTCATCCCGTCCACAAAGAAAAATTGCAAAGACTGTTGACTATAGCCACTTTGCCAATAGGGATTACCGAGCAAGAAGCGGCCATACGATGAAGTGTACCCTTCACTTTATTTCTGTATATGTTGCATCGCAAGAAAAGAGAGACAAACAAATGTTGAAACTAAGCTACAAGTGCAATCTAAGCGATTTGTATTATTCCAACTCGTCAAATCGTCTCAGAGGCTTCCGTTCACTATAACAGTAATTTAACTGATTTGAAAGGTATCTTCTTATAATATAACTTTAGAGCATTTTGAAAACCTTTATTTTTACTTATAACTATTGAAAAGGAACCTTTGAACGCCATTGTGATCGTGTCATTGTGATTAAGCCTTTAGAGGGCGCTAAAGAGTAACACTAATGGTTTTGTACAAGAAAATCACTACGAGCTTTTTTTTTTATTTGTATAATTTTCATAAATATTCATTAATCAGGGCTTTTCGCAGGAAATACATTGATACAATTTTTCGAAGAGTCTTAATTTCTTTCATTCTTTTACATAATGATACAGTTGATTCTCAAATTCGTAAAGTTTCGGTTTCACAAACCTCATGATTAATTAAAACAAAAGTAATGAATTACCCTTACTAATCAAGCAATGCAATTCTAACTAGCATTTTCAAAGCCAGTGATAACTCGAAGCAATTTCCTTGCTCCCCAGAAGGTTTGAAAAATCGTGATGTACTTTTCTTACTTCCACCTCTAAAAAGCTTTCAGTTGTTAAATGCAAACCACATCCTGCCTCAACTAGACCGTGAAAGACCTTTGCTTGCAAGATTTTTGCAATGAAATACGGGGCAACTTGCGAAATTTTAAAATGGACACTTTACCACAGTGCCATGAAGATAGACTCGATGTGATGAAGGAAAATAGTGAGCGCTTTGAGAATAGTGTCCTGTTTATTTTGAGGAAGAATCATCATACTCTCTTTTATTAAGGGAAAGAGACGCATTTGATGAAAAAAGAGAGAACTATTGAAATTTTTCTTCAGCTCTCTAGAGTGCTAGATACATACGTTGCCAACAGAGAACTTACGAAATGTGAAACACTTCCACGTTGTGATGAACTTGTCTTTTCACTTCCCCAACCGGGATCACCTTCGTTTTGTGCCGTGAGCGTATACAGGCGCACATCAGGAGTGCGACGAGAACAATAAAGACCACGAACATAATTATATTCATCGCTTTCAATGCGTTAATCGCGTTGTTACTGGAGCTGGTCATGGTTTTCGCAGATCTGTTTGGTATTTTTGGAGCGCACTGAAAATCTTTGTCTGGTGCACAAAATTTTTAGTCTGGAGCACTTTTGAACCCAGTGTTAAGGGGTATGATCTCGCTAGGTTATAGGGAATGGACTTTGTTTGATTTCCTGTCAAAGAAGTCCATTTATGTTTGTTAGGTGTCTTTGTCAGGTATCTTTGTTAGGTATCAGATCGGGTTCTTTTGGACTATTTTCGCACTGAAGCCTGCATTGGTCACAGCAATGACTACATCTTACTCGTTCTTTGTTTGACTGGCCGACTAGAATCATGCTGCAATGTGCGACTTTACGTTCATGTTCACTCCATTTCTGTTTTGTTTCGTGGTTCGTTGTAGATGTTAATATGTCCAAAATGCTTCTCCGACTTTTAAGCTATTTCTTCGGGTGTGATTTAATTAGGGCTTGCAAGTTCAAATTTCTATTGAAAAATGATTGTTTCGATCTGTTTGCAGCGACGGTTTCTTGGAATTATGATCGAAAAAGCAACTTTCATCAAAGAGATCCCTCGCGAATTTTTCTTTAAAGTTTAAGTATTCAGCCCTCATAAATGCAATTTACATATGAATAGGTTTATTGTAATCAAAAGGGAAATTCCCTTTATATCTTTGTTATTGCTTAATACGGCTTGCTGCAATACTGACGCAACACGATATAATAACCCAGGCGACTGTTAGTGACTGCTGGCGACTGCTAACGTAGGTGCGTAGATAGTGGCTTAGTTTTTTGCATCCCTCACGTTCGTTTTCCGGCAAAAATTCGTCGCGTGAGTCATCAGGCATTATATCATTACATCATTTGTACTTTCCTTTGCTGTTGAACGAGGTCAGTAAACTGCTTAACAATGAAAGCAGAACTCTCTTACCAGGCTACAATCCGTGTCAGTTTTGTCAGGAAATTGAATGACGTGATGTTAATTTTAATCTGCGTCGGCTAAGGCGAACTTTTTCAGAAAAAAATTTTCAAAATTGCACAATAACAACACTTTTTCTTTCTGGTTTGCCACTATTCAGGAATCGAGGAATTATTATGTACTCATCGACCTGCGGTTTTAGAGGGAAGGCGAAGAAACTGATATTTTCCTCGAATGGAAAGAAAAAGACTTGAATGATTGGTTCGGAAGAAATATTCTGGAAAAATAAATGAAAGGAAGAGTAAAGAACAATAAGAGAAATCGCCATGAAGGCCATCTTATTGGACGACTTTTGTTCCCAAATAATTTTGGAGCATTTACTTATTTATTTAGTAATTTTTTTGGCTCGAACCTTTTGGACTAGATTTCCTTTTTGCATCGACATCTTTCTCCATCTTTCCAATATTTATTCACTGCAACAGGTTTCGCTACTTGAATGCTCGAGTTCTGTAGAAACAACTAGCTTGTTTTTTTCAATTTTATCGTCGAGAAACGTTATACGTCCTTGCAGTGGGTCTATTTCGGTGTTAAATTTATTAGAGGAGGCGAGATTAAGAGCCTCCTCAGCTTTCTCCTTTGCAAGTTGCAGACGCCCTTGGCGATAAAACTGATCCGATCGTTTTTTCAAGAGCAGTACTCTTGTGCCTGTGGGGATACTGTCACCAAGATTATGCTGAACGAAATTGAGGTGTTCTTCTGCTTCTTTTATGTCAGTTAATGGAATAGGTTTCGCTTGGGTTCGCGTGGCAGTTGAAACACAATCAAGGCGTAATGCTGCAAGACTGAGATGAGTGTACCTTTGCCTTTTGGCCTGGACCCTTAATCGAGGATCCTCTTGGCTGCAAGAGATAGCTTTCTTAAGACAGTCTATCGCCTTTTCTTTGACGATTGTACGCTCCTGTGCATTCCGCTGGTCATCCGGTATAAGGCTCATGCGATCCATCCAAAGGTGACCGTATTTTTGGTAGAGTTCGGCCCAATCTTCCGGCGAGTCGTAGTTTTGCAACAAAAACTCGCTGCGCTCAAGGTATTCAAAGAGCCTAGGTAACTTCACACGCTTTCCTCTTCTTTTGTCAGCCACAAGTAAAAAGAAGGCTCTTGCCATCAGAATATCCGAATTAAGTGCATGACACGTTTTGTTTTTGTCTGATTGTATGACTGAGGTAAACATACTCTTGCTTTTTCGAGACTCTCTCTGATAAGTAAAGGCCACTCCTCGCTCTATTTTTAAGGCCAACTCCAAGTCAGGTTCCTTTCCATTGGCACAATACTGAAGCAACGACGTGACTAATTGCTCGTGTTCGTTAAAATGTCCATTGTCTTGCAAAATCTCAAGTTTTTCCAGGATTCTCTCGCATTGTGGTCCTTTGAGATACCCTTGTTTCTTGATTAGGGGCATCGGTTTTTCAACATTGTATGAAACAATTCCATCCGAGTCTGCCTTTCGGCAATGGGCTTGTACTTCTTTAGAAAGCTTTTCTTGGCCACAGCAATGATCATTTTTTCCTTGTTCTATGCTTGACTGACCGACCAGTACGACGCTTGAGCTTGAGACCATTAACGTCAAAGATTTGGTGTGTGCTTTAGATCTTACTTCAGAAACAATCGAGACTGAATCATCGGAAGGAAACCTAGATAACAAGCCTTTCATGTTGGTGCAAGTTGTCTGTCCATGGTCTGTGCGCCCTTTTGCAATTTGTTTAGCGTTGCTATAAACGCCAACGCTTACAGGCATATTTCTTGTTTGGTCATCCATGTTTGTTCAAGAGTAATAATTCGTTGTTTCCAGCGTTGTATCCTTGGACTGGTGATTTTGAACCTGCTAGAAGAAAGAAGACGAAGACGTCGAATAATCTGTTTCGGTGACGAAGTTTGTTTATGTTCTTCCCCGACAGCACCATAAAGATGCTCTGTTCCAGTTAGTGAAAGCCATAGTTTCTTGTAGATTTAGCCGTGAAAAAAGGTTTCCGTTGAGATAATCGCAAGAATTATTTAAAACAAAGCCATGTTTTCGTTTTGTTAAGAAAAGGATGATACGTATACATTGTCCTACTTTCTTTAAATTCGGAGAGGTGAATTATAGAGTCATCATATCTTTCATGTCATATTTGCATATAAATTTTAACCAATCGGTTTATTTCCTGTGAGGGAAAGTCCCTGTGATATATAAACCATAAACGCGCATTACGTCAGCTATTGAGAGGCCCGCAAAGGGTTGCAACATAATTAAGAGAAATGGCAATCCCCCAAGTCAAGATAATTATGTTTATCGGTATATATATCATGTACGGCTAGCTACAATGCTAACGCAGATTGAATTTTTCTAGTATCTCGCCCAGTATTTTAATTAATTTAATTAGAGGGTTTAATTCTAAGTTATATCCATAGGAGGAAGCCACACTTTAGCCTTCTCGGGCGTTTCTATTGTCAGGTGGTATAATGGCTGACGATAAAACAATAAATATGTAAAAAAGCGCTCATATTTTTAGAAATATTTATGATATTACTATCATTGTTCACCTGACCCTGAGCACGATTAATATTGAAATAGTAATTTCTCTGTCACACATTATAGACGAATACTTGTTTCTTGTCGAAAAAATTATCACTGACCACTATTCAAATTGTAGTGAAAAGGAAGCAAGCGAATAGATAAAATAAAATAAATAATGGCAAAAAGTAAATACACGAATGATCCAAAGAACGTCAAAAACAGGCAAAGTTACTGTGTTTCCACCACAGAGTATGTCGTATACTTAGTATAGATATGATATTCTTCCGATCTTGTTTTATTTAATTGTGATGCTTATTCAATCCTTTTCAAGTTCATAATCTCGTGATCTTTACTCGGTGCCGCTACAGCAGCTTTCAGTATGGGTATCTTCTATTTCCATGATAGCAACTTCTTTGGCAACCTCAAGCTTTACGTCAAGAAACTGGATCCTTTCTTGAAGAGTGTCTAATTCAGTGTTAAATCTATTCGAGGAAGCGAGCTGAAAAGCCTCCTCGGCCGTTTCTTTGGCCAGTTGGTATAATCTCTGACGATAGAATTGATCAGATCGAGTTTTTAAGAGCTGTACCTGTGTTCCCGTGGGTATACTCTTATCAAGTCTATACTGAACAAAATCAAGGTGTCCTTTGGCTTCCTTAATATCACTGGGAGCGATTTCTTTTTCTTGGGTGCGCGCGGCAGTTGAACTGCAGTCTAACAGCAGTGCTGCTAATCCGAGATGACAATACGTTTGTTTCTTTATCTGAACTCTCGGTCGTTTATCCCTTTGGCAGAAAGAGATAGCTTGCTCGTAGTAATATTTTGCTTTATCCCGAGCAGTCTCTCGCGCCTGCGCATTCCTCAGGTCATCAGGGATAATGCTCATATACTTCAACCAAACGGATCCGTAAATGCAATACAGCTCGGCCCAGTCTTCTGGGGAATCGTGATTTTGCAGAAGAAACTCGCTGCGTCGAAGAAATTCAAAGAGCGGGGATAACTTCACCGACTTTGTATTTCTGTAGTAAGCAACAAGTGAAAAATAGGCTCTTGCCGTTAAAATACTACGATTCGTAACATCCCAATTTTGTGTTCGTTCTGTTTGTATGACAAAGGTAAACATACTCTTACTCTTTCTAGACTCTTTCTGATAAGCAAACGCCACTCCTCGCTCTATTTTTAAGGCCAACTCCATGTCAGGATCATTTCCATCACAACAAAGTTGAAGCAACGATGTAACTAAGTGCTCGTGTTCGTTAAAATGTCCATTGTCTTGCAAAATCTCAAGTCTTCTCAGAATTCTCTCGCATTGTGGGTCTTTGAGATACCCTTGTTTCTCGATTAAAGGCATCGGTTTTTCAATACTGAAGGAAACAATTCCATCTGAGTCTGCCTTTCGGCAATGGGCTTCTGCTCCTTTAGAAAGCTTTTCTTGGCCACAGCAATGATCAATGTTTACTTGTTCTATGCTTGACTGACCGACCAGTACGACGCTGGAGCTTGAGACCATTAACGTAAAAGATTTGGTGTGAGCAATCGAGACTGAATCATTGAAAGGAAACCTAGATAGCGAGCTTTTCATGTCGGTGCAAGTTGCCTGCTCATGGTCTGTTCGCTCCTTTGTAATTTCTTTAGCGTTGCTATAAACGCCAACGCTAACAGGTGTATTTCTTGGTTGGTCGTCCATGTTTGTTCGCGAGTAATATTACCTTGTGTTCAGCGTTGTATCCTTGGACTGGTGATTTTGAACCAGTGTAATTTAAGGTAGATGCGGTTTACCTCCTACTAGGA